GGGCATAGAGGAGAAACAATAATGTACAGTATGTGGAAAATAATGTGTTTTTTGAACCTTAAACCGCATAAACACATTTCATTACACCAAATACACAAAATAATGTTCTTTTTAGCAGCATCATATGACCCCTTTAATGGTTTTTTTTTCACCATAGTTTGCGACAGTCAGAAAAGTGATGAGTCATCTGTCAGTTTTTACCTACACTCGTGTGAGTTTCGTGCGAGTTAGTTAAAACTACAAAGCGACATTGTGACTGAGACTGATGTATTAGTGAAGTTGTCTTCTACACACAAATGTGGCGAAGCAGTAAAGGATTAAAGATTTAGCACGACTACGCCACCCTGGGTCTTGCCCAGGGACCTTTCTTAATAAATTTCTTTAGGCAACACAGGTCAGCTCACGATAAATTTGCAGGGGACATAGATATACAAAGTCATTTTTATTACAATTAAAAAAGGGTTTATTACATAAAGGGAGGTTGAAGAGCAATCACTAAACACAACAGTTCACATATAACAAACTCAATTACACACTTCACAAAATACAACAGTGGGCAACCTGGGTCGTCAAGGACATCCAAGGATCAAGGTACAGGAACCGAGGCTTGACAGCAGGGCATAAGGGCACAATCGGCCTATACAGCAAAACACCTGTAAGAAATTATAGTATGCCCAGCCCCTGTAACAACAGAAATCAGGTTATACACTTGAAAAGACAGTCACCATCACAAATGGATTACAATAAAGAGAGTTACCCACCCCCAAATTAACAGATACAAATACTTAAATCCACCAAAATAACGTAACTAATACAAAACAAGGCAATAATAAATTATTGCTACTACAACACAAAACAAAACTCAGCAAATGAGCACAAACATCAGACTCAGCCACACAATATAGTAATACAACAGTGAACAGAACTTACACAATAACTATAAAAAAACAGTACAACAACAAAAAAAAGTAACTGAGTGCACTTAAGACAAACTCAGTTTGAGTACACTCAACGATCAGCACACGTTTCACAATAAAGGCATCCAATCAGTACATGAAACAAAAAAAAGAAAGGAAAAAGAAAATGTTGGTAAACCAAGGAACTAACACATACGTGCACACACACCAAGGCTTCAACAAAACACCACGCAGGGGAATTACAAAAGTTAACCAAAACAAAGCAACAGCGTCTCCAGATAATAGTTCCCACGTAGCCCCAACAACAGGGAAGCCAATCGCAAGGAGTGACGCCACTGGTCTGTCTGCAATGAAATTACAATTTAGACAGATCAGCCCCCCCCCCCCGCGAATGCTAAAGAGTAATAAAAATCCAAATATCAACCCATGATAAAATTTAAAAACAAATACCGTACAAATAATTTCTGAAATAAAATCAGTCAGGCAGACGAACAATGTGCTGGGAAGCTGAGGGCGCTCGTTCAGTCTATATGGGAAACAATGGGTTCAACGGAGAAACAACCGCATCCATAATGTCGATGAACACCCGCATCAGTCGTGCTGAATCGGTCTCACTCAAACTATGCATAAATACAACAAAAAGAGACCGCTATAACACAAGCAAATTCATAAAGGACACATCGCGACCGACTCCCTTACCTGCAGAGGGCAACCCTAGCCAAATGCTCGCCACGGGGTTTCCTTCAACATGCCATTCTGGAGGACGACTAAATGTAACGCAGGAAGCAAGGGGGCGTGACTCATGACGCCATAGTACCTCACCCACGAATTTATATATTCGCTCACTGCCCGATGATAGGACAATCAATGAACAACCAGCCAACCAAATGCAAGCAGGAAGAGCTTCACTAGTCCTGCCACACAAAGAAGAAAAGCCCTGCATGAACACAGCGTAATGAAGCAAGTGTTTTTTCCTGATGGATCTAATATCTATCAGATGAATTTCTGATTGCGAGGTTGCAAACATTTGTTCTTTTTCTATGCACGTTTCTTAAAAATGCACTGAACACGAACGCGCAAGTTTGCATCCGGGATAGTTTAAAAGAATTCGGGTCTTCGAGTCCATTTGGGTTTTTTTGATTTGTTGCCTATATCTGATTTTTTTTTAACCATCCGTTTACACGTTCTTTCAATTGTGACCCATATCAAATTCATCTGTTTACACTTGCCATAGCTCCACTTTTCCTGCGTTGTTGTCATTTCTACTACCTCCCAGGGTTGCTAGGATTTCACAACAAAACCCGCCCAATTTCTACTCAAAACTAGCCCAGTCGTGTTTC